ATACCCAGGACGAATCTCATCCGCCCCCGGGGCTCTGCCGCTGTGTAGTTGTTTGACTACCTCAGCAACTTCTGCCCCCGAGATTGGACAGTCCATCCCCAGGTCTCCCGGCTCTGGTTCCTCCTCGGAATGTGCGTAGGTGGGATTGAGGAGCTCCTCAAAGTATTCCTTCCACCATCCGACTATAGCCCCAGTTGACGTCAGCAGCTCCCCATCCCCACTGTAAACAGTGTGAGCGAGTTGCTGCCTTCCTCTCCTGAGGCGCCGGACAGTTTGCCAGAACCTCTTTGGAGCCGATCGATAGTCTTTCTCCATGTCCTCACCAAACTCCTCCCACGCCCGAGATTTTGCCTCGGCAACTGCCACTGCTGCACCCCGCTTGGCTATCAGTACCTGTCTGCTGCCTCCGGAGACCCACAGACCAGCCACGCCCTGTAGGCTTCCTTCTTTAGCCTGACGACTCCCCGAACCTCTGGTGTCCACCAGCGGGTACGGGGGTTGCCACCACGACTGGCACCGGCCACCTTGCGACCACAGCTAGCAACAATAGCAGAGTGGAACAAGGCCCAGTCGGAGTCAATGTCCCCCACTGCTCTCGGGACGCGGTCAAAGCTCTGCCAGAGGTGGGAGTTGAAGACCGTCTTAACAGGTTCTTCTGCCAGGCATTCCCAGCAGACCCTCACTATGCGTTTGGGTCTGCCAGGTCAACGCGGCATCTTCCCCTGCCATCTGATCCAACTCACCACCAGGTGGTGATAAGTTGACAGCTCCGCCCCTCTCTTCACTCGGGTGTCCAAAACATACGGCCGCAGGTCAGATGATATGACTACAAAATCTATCATCGACCTGTGACCTAGGCTGCCCTGGTACCAAGTGTACCGGTGGGCATCCTTATGTTCGAACATGGTGTTCGTTATGGCCAAACTGCGGCTTGCACAGAAGTCCAATAACAAAACACCGCTCGAGTTCAGATCAGGCGGGCCGTTCCTCACAATCGCACCCCTCCAGGTCAAGCTGTCATTGCCCACGTGAGCATTGAAGTCCCCCAGCAGGACAGTGGAGTCCCCTGATGGAGCACTATCTAGCACTCGTCCCAGGGGCTCCAGAAAGGTTGGGTACTCTGAACTGATATTTGGCCCATAAGCACAAACAACAGTCAGGACCCGTTCCCCGACCCGAAGGCGCAGGGAAGCTACCCTCTCGTCCCCCGGGGTAAACCCCAACACACAGGCAGAGAGTCTTGGGGCTGACAAAAAGCCAACCCCAGCCCTCCGCCACTCACCCGGAGCAACTCCAGCAAAGGAGAGTGTCCAACCCCTCTCAAGGACTTGGGTTCCAGAGCCAATGCTATGTGCCGAGGTGAGTCCGACTATATCTAGCCGGTACCGCTCAACCTCTGCCACAAGCTCCTGCTCCTTCCCCGCCAGAGAGGTGACATTCCATGTCCCAAAAACCAGTTTTCTTGTCCGGGGATCGGACCGCCAAGGCTCCTGCCTCGGTCTGCCACCCGATCCACACTGCACCGGACCCTTCATGTTCCTCCTGCGGGTGGTGGGTCCACAGTTGGATGAGCCCATGTGTCCGGTTCAGGCTGGGCCCGGCCGGGCCCCATGGGCGAAAGCCCGGCCACCAGGCGCTCGCTCACGGACCCCAACCCCAGGCCTGGCTCCAGGGTGGGACCCCAGTAAGCCTCCGGGCCGGGTACTCCGACTCTTTGACTTTACCTCCATGAAAGATCCTGTGTAATTATCAAACTCACAAGTGGAACTTTTCTGGCTTCAATGCTGCGGATCTATAAATCGTGTAATTTGTGATGCATTCGTAGAGCAGATAGGTCTTTAACTATGAAATGCTGAGAAAACATGAAATAATGAAAGTTTGTGGACAACGTGAACGAAAAGGCACCGGCTAGAATACGAACCACCGGGTTCCCCCGGAAACGAAACAGATTTCTGGTTTTAATTTAGTTTAAGAAGGAAATTCAGAGGAAAAAATAAACCTTCTGAGAAATAAAATCAAGCTCAGAATAAACATCGTCTTTATTTACAAGATGTGATTAAAACAAACTTTTAGCGGGTTAAAAACATTTTACAGACAGGAAAATAAATAATATGCGATGGACTGGCTCTCTGTCCAGGGTGTACCCCGCCTGATTGCCCACTGACCGCTGGAGATAGGCACCAGCCCACAGAATTACAGAAAAACTTTCATGAAGCTTTTGTTAATCAACAAGTTATGAATGAATGATCTTACGTTTATTTTCGGAGGCATTAATTAGTGTAAACCCCTGGAAACAGCTCATTTGTCTTTAAAAAGACGCGATCCATCCTCTACAGCCCACCCACAGCCTCCCGGAGAGTCAGCCAAACTTTTTAGGACAACGCCTCCCTTCCTTCCCCATCTCCCCAACTCAGTCTGCCCCATCATGGGCGGCTTTGATTCACAGGACTGACAACCTTATTATGCGGCACACTTATTATTGATATTACGCCGCAGAGGCGCGGTTGCCATGGTCACCAAGCGAGAGACATTTAATTTTCTCTCCTCCATCATCATTATCTATGGGGCCATCTGTTGTGGAAAATGAATTCAGCCTCATTTGCATGACTGATAAGCACATTCTTTATCTGTCCCACAGAAGGTCATATGCCATGGATTTGGGGACTTGAGAGAGAAAGAGTGTGAGAGGGTGAAATGATGCATGGTCTTACCTCTGTGAATGAAGTAAGTGGTGTGTGTGTGTGTGTGTGTTTATCAGAGCTCGGATGTGTGCATGTGTCTGCATAATCTGTTGACATGTAATGTTTATGTATGCCCTCTTGCCATGCCTTTGTTCTCATGTGGATGAGAATTTACATAAGCCTGTGTGTGTGTGTGTGTGTGTGTGTGTGTGTGTGTGTGTGTGTGTGTGTGTGTTCTGCATCAGAATGTCACATTCAAAAACAATGAGGATTCAACTTTACATTTTCAAAAATTGATTTAAAAAAGCTTTTATTGTGAAATTTCCTGCAGAATAATGCTTCATTGCTCTGACGAGTAGCTTTGTAATGAAGTTAGGAAGTTGGTCACCACCAAGGGACGAACTCCACCTGTCAAAAGTGAAAAATAAAGCTGTTCTCCCCTCGTCCACCAGCGGCTGGCTCCAGAAAGGCGTCGGCTCTCATCGGCTCCCATGTTAAAAACGCAGCTTCACAGCAGAAACAAACATGTTTACGGCCGGGTTCAATAAACATTTGAGGTTAACTAGATCTAGTTTACAGCCAGGACAACTCTGAGGGGGTGGACGTTTTTGTAGCTCAAATGTTTAGTTGTAAATAAAGCTTGAGATTAGGAAGAATTAGGGGTGTGTCCTTTTGATTGACAGCTGAGCTAGCAGTAGCAGCTGACCCCCCTGCTTGCTCAGGGGAAGGCCTCGGCCTCGCGTAGCTAAAAGGTGCTACAGCCTAGGCCAGGGACCTAATCCACACTGGGACTGGGAAGTGATGGTAAATCTACAGATCTGTGCGGTCGGACCTTTTCATTTAGAAACAAACGTATGTTTGTAGTAACGCTGAATGTGGAATAACCACGTTAAACACGAGCAAATCAATTTTAAATAAATCACACATCAGTGGTATTTGTTACTAATTATTATTGTTATTTATTATTTTATTCCTTAAGTTGAGTATTTTTACAGCATTTTTAATATTTAGGATCTTTCGGTTTGATGTTTTCTTGTTGTTTACTCTTCATTCTTATGTTTTACTCCACTTTTCTGCTCCTGTAATGAACGTTATTGCTGCTGTGACACCACGCTTTCCCCACTGAGGGACAATAAAGGGGTTTTCTATTATATTTCTATTCTTCTATCTGTAATCTTTCCACTTCCTGTTTTAAAGTGGGTGAAACTTTTTTCACAGGCCAACAACAAAAAAATGTAAAAATTTTGTGTTTTTCTTAAATGAAAATGCAGCATCTCACCTGTTATCTTTCATGCCTTGGAGCAGAAAAATGCATTAAAACCAAAATAATCCAAGCTCAGTTTGCTCCACCTGATGCTCACCTGTTCCCTCCAGACACCTGCATCACTGGAGTTGGGCTCTGAGCTGAGGAAGGAGCTGTGTCATTCTGTTCGTGTTCATCACAGACAACAGGTGCTCACACAGGTTTGTGCTGCTGAACATGGAGAGCCAGTGGCGGCTGGCCAGTAGAGGGCGATAGGGCGCCGCCCTCCCAGTTTTCCCCAGTGTTTTAAATTTTTATTTAAAAAAATAAATAAATAAAATTAACCATAATCACATATTCTAAGTTAATTGTGTGTTTTGTAACAAAAATAAATCATATATATATATAAGGACACGCCCCAATATATATTTATATATATTTAAGGACACGCCCCAATATATATATATAAGGATACGCCCCAATATATATTTATATATATATATATATATATAAGGACACGCCCCAATATATATTTATATATATATATATATACATATATATATATATATATATATATAAATATATATTGGGGCGTGTCCTTATATATATATATATATATATATATATATATATATATGTATATATATATAAATATATATTGGGGCGTGTCCTTATATATATATATATACATATATATATACATATATATGTATATATATATATATGTATATATATATATGTACATATATATGTATATGTATATATATATATATATATATATATATATATATATAAGGACACGCCCCAATATATATTTATATATATATACATATATATATATATATATATATATAAGGACATGCCCCAATATATATTTATATGTATATATATATATATATATATATATATATATATATATATATATATATATATACATATATATGTATATATATGTATATATATATATATATATATATACATATATATGTATATATATGTATATATATATATATATATATATATATATATATATATATATGAATGAAAGGCTTTGGGCTGTGTTTCAATCGCCCAGACAGGACGGGACCGGCCGTCCAATTGCTGACAAGAAAATGAAAGGGTAGGAATGGGAATGTATCCAATCAGCGTCGACGTTGTTTCAGAAGCATGATGGGCGATAGAGCTACCGCCAAAGGATTCGTTGGTGTTCGGTAGAACTCGGCAGAGTCGTTTTTGGTCGTGACGCAGATGTAACATGGACGCTGCCGGTGACTACAACCAGCATGGATACCGGATCTCAGCAGCCATGAATTCAGTTCGGTCTCTTCTCCAGTATCCGTTCGAGAGGAGAACTATGGTGGAAAAACTTAATGTCAAAGAGCTTGGACCAGATCAGCCCGACGTAAAGATAAGCCAGCAGGACAAGGAGAGAGGTAAACTGTACACACGAGGCTTCTCCCAAAATTGGTACACCAGGAAGGCTTGGCTAGCTGGATGCAATCACGCTAATGCTTTATTTTGCTTTCCGTGTTTGTTATTCAAAACGGCTGGGACAGATAAGGCATGGATGAGTCAGGAGTTACAGACCTGAAACATTTTTCTGAGAAGGTGAAGAAACACGAGTCATCCCGGGCACACATGGACAACAACACGGTGAAGCTAGCCATGCTAGGCGGAGCTAACATTGCCATGCAGGGAACAACAGCAGCTGGGTGCAGAGGTAAGCTGTACATTACATTTCTGTGAACAAGACAATCAGAATCAGAAATCCTTGGTTGTCCCACAAACCGGGACATTTGTTTAATAACATGTTTAATGTGCAATAACTGTAAAAACTAATTTCAACACACATACTTATTATACATATTTAATCATGTAAATGTGTATTTCATGTAAATTTGTACATACATCAATCTGATTCCATTTTACTTGTTACACTTCTGCTGCAGCAAACAAATTTCCCAGCTTTTGGGACAGTTAAACATTTCTGATTCTAAATTAGATGTTTTTACTTCAAATGTAAAAACATCTGATTGAGAATCAGAAATGTTTTATTGTCCCAAAAACTGGGAAATATGACATTTGTAAGAGGATACTGATGACATTATTTCCTATGAAAGTGTTTCCTATGTACTTATCTGTTGTTTTTTTATTTATCTACTTTAAAGAGGATTAAGACTTTCCTGAGGAACACCATGACACAGGATGGGCTGAATGCTCTTGCCATGCTCTCCATGGAAAAAAAAGCTTGTCACAAACATTCCTGACTTCAATAAAAAGCTCATCGAGAGCTTTGCCACTCAGAAGGACAGAAGGGCAAAATTTCTGTACAAATGAGGTATCACACACACACACACACACACACACACACACACACACACACACACACACACACACACACACACACACACACACACACACACACACACACACACACATGCATCCACTTGATCTTTGTATAAAGTTGACCTTGGCACAACACTCCAGAAATATTTAACAGTGTAAATTTCTGGCATTTTGTCTAAGTAGTGTTTACTACCATTACTGTAACAGTGACCTGCTCGTAATTTTTCGTGTTCACTCAAATGTTGAAATTAAACAAAATGTTTTTGTTACTTGCCTCTTGCATTGCCATTTATGGTCGTGTTATTTTATGTGCAATTTATTGCAGTATTTTTCAACCTTGGTCCGCAAGGCAGCGTGCCAATAGTCACACACACCTGGATTAATCAGTTTGTCCAATGATGTAAGACAGGAAATAAAAGAGCTGTGCTTAATTCAGGAAATAGTGAAGTTGTGCACAAAGCTCAGAAAACACAAGTTTGTTTAAAAATAAAAAATAGCACAGCCCCACCAAAAATACTTTACACCAGCCGCCACTGTGGAGAGCATCTGAGCAGCTGGACCACACAGTTGGTCGGTGTGTCAGGGAGGAGAGATAAAAGCTGCAGCAGCTACAGAGTCATTCTGACTGGAGCGTGCTGCTGAACTGGAGTTAAATCGTCTCGGTCTGGAAGTTGGTCGGTGTGCTTTCTCTGTCAGCCGAGAACAGACGTGGGATACTGAGCGGTTAAAATCCGTTTCTGGTCTTCAAAGTTGCTGAGTAAAGTCGGCGCTGAGTAAGAGGAGCGTTCTCAGTTTGTCCGAGACTGAGGATGCATCGCTGCAGATGCAGAGTAGTAGCGTGGATGCTAATTAATGTAAAATCTAAGCAGCACCAACGCTGCAAAGCACTATGGGAGTTGTAGTGTTTGCAGCAAAATCGGCCAGCAGGCCAGGTTTAGTATTTCATCTCGCGGGCCAAATACAAATAGACTGAGGGACAAATTTGGCCCGAGGGCCTGAGTTTTAACACCTGTGGGCTAGACGGTAGAGGGTAGCAGAAGTCAGTTTTGCAAAGCAATGCCGTCAACTTTCCGCAATGTTGAAGCAGCATTAGGGAGCCCTAGGTCTTCATTAGTGGTTAGGTGGTGGTAATCGTGTCTTTCACAAAAGGTTCTGCGATGGCGGCATGAAGGCGTTTATGGGGGCGGTCCCCGCACTGCCGCAGAGTTCCGTTTGTCCTGCGCTCATGAAGTTTTTACCTAAAGGTGTCTGTGCCCCACAGTTCCCGTGCAGTCTCTGGTGATCTGACCTCCAGCTCTAACGGAGAGAAGCTCCAGATTATCATCTGAGCTGGTTCTGTTTACAAAAGCAGAACTTACGGGCGTGTTTACTTTCATGCTCAATAGTTGCCAGCCGGAGCTCGGCAGTAAATCCCCACGTGATTGTGACTCCTCCCTCAAGGCGCATGGCGCGTTTTCACGACACACCACTGGGGTAATATTACTCCGATTTGCCGGCATGGTGTCTTGTGAAGAGGGCTGGAGTTACTCAACCACAGCCCGCCAATCTCTGTTAGCGTTGCTTAGCTAAGTTAGCTCGTAGCTACATTGGCTCAGAGGTGGATGGGTGCCAATCTCCTGCCCCCGCCCTCACAGCATTACCTCCTGCTCCATTTTCCAGGAGCGATGAGACGTCATGTACGCGTGACGGCGTGACCGGTTCATCCATTACTCATACAGTCAGTGGTCATCGCACCGTTACATCTGTGACTTCTGAGTGACGAGCAGGAAATAAGCATTTATGCAGTGTTTGCTTGATGTAGTTTTCATGCAGGAAGTTAAAAACTCCAAACATGCTGCCATGTTGGCCTGCAGCTATGGTCCAGTTCCAGCACCCCCACCCCGCTCTAATGGGAAGATGGTGCTCACCTGCTGCATGCTCAGCTGTGGCAGCCCTGATCACCACTAGGACTCAGTAATGTAGATATCTGATTCATTTCTTACAAGGAAAATGTAAAAACAGTATTTTATGTACCAGGGACGGGACGTGGACGGGTGAATGTTGAATTATAGAATCAGCAGAAATCCACCAGATGAGCTGTGTATTAATATGCATTTGCCATTTTCTAAATAAGAACAAAGTAGAATCATTTGTTTTTCCAAAGAAACTGTCCTTTAGTGGGTGGATGGATGGATTCATGAAAAAATATAGATGTTTTGCTTGTTTATTGTTTTTTAACATTTAAATAACCCTATACAAAAACCCCAGAGGCATCTAGGCGGCAGACATGTTTAGCTCCATGCTTATTATAGAATTGCATGTCTTCAGATAGAAAATCATTAAAAAATAACTTCATTCTCCAGTTTTACCTTCATTCTCAGCTTTGTTTCTCTGTGTCACACATTTCACCTGCAACCCTAACATGAAGCAACCTGAACACAGAATTAGACTAAAGTAATCTCAAGTTTGAGCTCTACTGAATATTCCCGCTGCTGCTTAGGTAACCTGGTTAAGTAGAGAGAGAGACTCCCCGTCTCTCTCTCTCTCTCTCTCTGTGTGTGTGTGTGTGTGTGTGTGTGTGTGTGTGTGTGTGTGTGTGTGTGTGCAGGTACCAAGACTGCCAGGTGTGTGTGTGATGTGCAGGTACCAGCAGTCCCTGTGTGTGTGTGTGTGTGTGTGTGTGTGTGCAGGTACTAAGACTCCCAGGTGTGTGTGTGTGTGTGTGTGTGTGTGTGTGTGTGTGTGTGTGTGTGTGTGTGTGTGTGTGCAGGTACCAAGACTGCCAGGTGTGTGTGTGATGTGCAGGTACCAGCAGTCCCTGTGTGTGTGTGTGCAGGTACTAAGACTCCCAGGTGTGTGTGTGTGTGATGTGCAGGTACCAGGAGTCCCTGTGTGTGTGTGTGTGATGTGCAGGTACTGACTCCCAGGTGTGTGTGTGTGTGTGTGTGTGTGTGTGTGTGTGTGTGTGTGTGATGTGCAGGTACCAGGAGTCCCTGTGTGTGTGTGTGTGTGTGTGTGCAGGTACTAAGACTCCCAGGTGTGTGTGTGTGTGTGTGTGTGTGTGTGTGTGTGTGTGTGATGTGCAGGTACCAGGACTCCCTGTGGGTGTGTGTGTGTGTGTGTGTGTGTGTGTGTGTGTGGTTTGTATCTCTGCTACATCCCGCTGCAGAGACCCAAACGTCTCTCCCTCCCATGAACAAACACTGTGCATTGGAAGGCTGAAGCTCCCTCTACACCAGCAATACAACCTCTCCTCCTCTGTGCACTCCTCCTTCTCACCCCATCTGCTTTCCTCCCTCAGTCCCACTGAACAACAAACCCTCACCTTCTTCAACGCCATCATCTCAACTCCCAAGACACACATCTTCCTACCCCGTCTCCTTCGGCTCCCTGGTGCTCGCTGGCTTCCACTCTGCAGCATCAACACCTCTAACCTCAACAACACCACCACTCCTCCCATCGCCAGTGCAGCTCTCTCCTTTCTTGTTTCTTCTCTTATTCGTTTTCATTCACAACAAATGTAATGCATATGGAAGACCACGCAGCACCTGCACCTGCGCTGGTTTGGTTTTAAAATCAGCTGAAAACATTTAAACACTCATTTTCCTGTAAAGAGTTCAACTCCAGAGAGAAATAGTTCAAATCCAAGTATTTAAGGATGATTTGGGTGGAGTGGACCAGCGGCGACTTCCTGCTGCTGGTGGAGGAGAAAAAGCTTCCCGATTGACCGGTGGAGTGGAGATCACCAGCTGGATCCGGTCTGCATTAGCAGTGATGTGGACACTGAACCGATCAGCTCTGGTGGAGAGGGAGCTTGAGCCCCCCCCCCCCAGAAGCTCGGAGTAGAGCTGCTGCTCCTCCTCATCCTTCCAGGAGGAGACCCTTGGGTTGACCCAGAACACATCAGAAGATGAGGGTCTCTACGCTGGATTGAGAATGCTGTGGGATCAGCTGGTAGACGTGGCTAACTAACCATCCTTGTGCATATTTCACGATTGTCTTTCTTTCTGAATGTTTTGACCAAAATGTGAGCTTGTTCCACCGTTTTTGAAGAAGTAACGATGTGGAAACGACATTGTGTCTACGGTCATGAACTCATTGTTCCGCGCACCCTTTCGGTTTCCTGGATCAGCTCTGGAGTCCAGGCTTCAGGTTCTCTTTCCCAAACCTGGGAGTTTGTTAGAAGTTCATTATTTTTCTACCAAGACACCGTTCTCACAACCCCCGCTTCATACACGTCCTCGTATCATCACGCTTGAAGCAGCAAGAGCAGCTTTTGCTCCCTGACTCCTCCCGTAGTTCTACATGCGACACCTTACACACCCTTTCTGAGGGGCTGAGGATGACGTTCATAATCTGAGTTTTCTGAATTAGAATAAACTTATAATCAGCATTTAATTCATGCATAATGGCCTTTAACGGGAGAGAAACACTGCTTTTAGAGTTTAAACAGTTCTTCTTTTATTCATGTCTCCTTCTCCAAACACTTCCACGATTCTTCAGATGAACACGCGTTCCTGGGCTCTGTGCATTCCCCTCCGTGTGTTTGTTTAGGAATGTTTGGTAAGTTAATTGTGTTTGATTGGCATTAACATAGCCAAATAAAAATTTGAATTTGGTAATGGTGAGCGCCCCGAGGGCATCTGCGTCCCAACCCACACGAGCACTTACCAAGCCTCTCCTCAGCTGCCTGGCAGCGCTTCTGCAGAGGACGAGCTCGCCGGTTCAGTAAAACATGGCTGCATGCCTTCTGATTTGTTTACTGCTACGTGGGACAACAACACACCTCATATACATGTGCCCCTGACACCAGGAGCGCAGGATTTGAATGCAGCTCCTGAATATTTATGCGTAAGCATGACTTTATTTGAAAATGTTATTGCTCATCTCGGCCATGTGAGGATTTCCCAGCATGCCGTTCTGCCTGCAGGCCTGCTGCGCCGTCAGCTGCATCATCCCGCCCAGAGAAAATGAGCGAGTTAGCACCTCTCGTCCAGTAAGAAATGAGGCTAATTCATAATCTAATTATAATGATGTCTTTAGGATCAAATTAGCATTCTGTGTTTGCAAATCCGGGTAAATATGGAAATCACCACATTGTTATTCCCACTCTCACGCGCGCTGCAGCGTGCATGAAAACCACCTAGCCCTGACCTTTTGTGTGTCTCCTGGTTGTGAGCAGAGCTCATCACTGAACACATAGCTGCAGCTAGCCTGTTTCAGTGCTCATTCATCTGCTGCACTCTTGGTGCTCAGCCAGCCTTGAAGTCGGGAACGCCGGGAAAGGATG